TCTTATAAACTCTATAACTTTGCAAAGAAAGGTGGTGTAGAGCTGGGAGACGTCTCATTTTAATCAGACATTTCCGGGCTACAATTACAACTCATTAAGAAGAGGTTTCAGTTAGTTTTAGAGTTTCTGAAAAACTAGTTTTCCAGAAAACCGGGTCTTCAAGAGCCCTCCGTAGAAACCCATTTAGGCTTTTTGTCAGCTCGATGCCCTCTATCAACTGAGGTATGAACGAAGAAAAATGGAGAGTATCATCTCGGGCGGTTCCCTCGTAAGAAGAGTGAATAGCTGACTGTAAGGATACATGACCATTGGTAACATAACTCTTATTTATTCTATCGACAATTAAAAAAACAAGATGAAGTAGAAAATGGAAATCTTGAATCATATCCTCTTGAGTATTGAATGGACGGTCTAACACCATCATCAATTTTCATTTTGTTTATGAATGATACAAAATTAAATTTTGTGAAACTGTTCTCAATTCATTGTTTTTATTTCAGTACGACTTCTATCCAACAACCATTTATCTCTTCGAGTAGTTCATCATCATCTATCAATCATTATTTAACTATTTATAATCGTCGTATCAATGATTTATGTAATCATATTTCAATTGTTGAACAAGAAATACCAACAATATCATGTAATAATTTAGCATTAATAAATAAAATTCAACCGTGGAAAGATAAAATTGAATGTGAAGATTATTTAAAACGATTATTTGATAAAAAATTAGATCGTTCAAAACGTCAACATCTATTAACCGAAATACAATGGATAACAAATTTAAATGAACAATATCATTTACAATTAATACAAGCAATGATAAATCGTTGTAAATCAAATGATGTTAAAAAATTTGTTAACAGTCTCAATGAGTATACATCATGTTCATTAGTTCTATTAGCAATTGTATTTAAATCAACAATAAATAATCAACAAATTAATGATGAATGTTTAAAATTATTAATAATTTTAAAACATTATGAAACCCAAGGTAAAAGTATTTTTGGACTAAGATTACGAACAATTAAACGATCAGATGATCAAACAAATATGATAACATCATTATTAAATATTAAACGTAATTTAATAGTAACAACAACAACAACAAATACTTTAACAACTAATATTAGTCAACAACAATCCGATATGTTAAATATTTTATGTGATTATTATCCAGTAAGAGATTATAGAATAGAAAAAAATTTTAAACATTATATTCAAACAACATTTTCATCGAATAGACAAGATGATTGTAAACATATATTAATAAATTTATTGTGTGAATCCGAAGATAAAATGTCAGAATCAACGATTGGAATGTTACTTGATCATCTATCAACTATGGAAAATTTATCATTAAAGTAAGAAAATTTTTTTTTTATATTGAAATATTTCTAAATAGATAATAAGATATAAACCACCTTTGTCATAATGAAAATAACTATTTTCTATTAGAGACATTTCGTCTTTATTCAAAAGACATCATCGTTTGCCGAATATGATAAACAATAGTTGATTCAGAAGATAGAAAATATAAGATAAAATAAAATGCAAATAATGTAGAATAACAAAATAAAATAGATAGAACAAAAAAGTTGAAACTTTCTATTTCAACTTTATCCGTATACTACGTGATACATCATCAAAATACTTTAAGATCAACGCTTTTTTGTGAATAGATTGTTCGTTTGTTTTTGTTTTGCGTGAATGTCTATTAACAAACTCTCTTTGATAGTTCTTTTTATACGATGTAATTCAACCGCAAGAACTTGTGGATTCCAGTTAGTGTTATGACACGTGTCCAAACAATGAACTGCTATCTTAGAAAATCTTGTTCCATAAAAAGCTTTCTGATGTTCTTGTTTTCTTATCGTTACTCCTCTCGGTGTGCTGTAGAAATATCGAAAACTAAATATCGAATAGGAATAATGTAGAATGAATAAATGTAGAAGAGTAATAATGTCGAAAAAAAAAATGTCGGAAAATAAATATCAAATGGGAGAAATATTGAAGGGAACAATGTCAAAAAGGAAAAATATCGAAAAAAGCGATGTCACTAGCAAACGTAGACGCTAAGCCTCTGTAGTACCAATTTATTGAATGTTCAGCAAAAATTCATACAAATTTGCATGACCAATTGATTAAAACGATTGGTGATCACTGTCATCTTCCCGAGAAAGAAAAACCTGAAGTACGTGAATTTCGTGAGAAAGTCAAACAACGAGCAATAAAAAAAACGAATTATGTTTAAAAAAAGTATTACACCAAAAATCAAAGATGTGTCGGAATTTTTCACTTCAACATTTTGTCATTTCGATATTTTTTCACTTCGATATTATTCCACTTCGATATATCTCCTTCGACATTGGTCCCTTTCGACATTACTACGGCCAACCCTTCACTCACTATCTATTCTATATAGCTTTTCATACATCCTGAAGTATTTTTATTTATCCAGAGAGAAGAATGAACTCAATTGTTTTATTTTAGTTCATCCATTATGAATCAGTCATTTCAACAACATTCAATTCATATCTTACGATCATTATTTTCTCAACGTTCTCGTTCATCAATATCTCAAAAATTATTATTAAAACAATTTTTACATTCATGTAATTGGACAACTATTGACGATTGTATCTTTGATTTATTAACACTTCGTTCATCATCCTCTTCATCGACACAAATACAAACATCAAATACGTCAACAAATCTCAATACTATTGATTTGACTAATTCTTATCGTTTATCACCTAATAGTCAAACTGATTCATCGACTCATCATCGTTTATGTCCAACACAATCACTTATTTCCAGTCGTTGTTCATTATTGGAATATCGTGATTCTATATTGATACTAGATATGCTACAATCTTATCTAAAATTATCACAATTATGGGTTGGTAGAGAATCAAAAATGTTAGAACGTTGTAATGATAAACCATTAATTATATTGAAAGAAAATCATATTTATACACTAATACTATACATATTAGATGAAGCCTATCGTTTAAATATATCAAAAATACTAAATATTCGAAAACAATATATCTATCGCTATGAACTATTATGTTCATTAATTAAATCAAAACAAAAATATTTATTAAAAAAATGTTTAAATCAAATTTTAGTTGATTCACAATTACAAACATGGACAAAAGATATTCTACCATCATTTTATTATACATTATATTTATATGAACCAAATTTATTTGATAATGGTTTTTATTTAATTATACAAAATCTATTTGATGACATAAAACAACATAGGTAAAGGAAATACACACATAAAGGACGGGAAATGGTTTCTGCTAGAAAATGGCCCAATATGATTTTGAGTGAAAATGATCAAAAATGTTTCCCTTTTCACTTTCGAACACTTCTGATTTTCAAAAATTGCTCCTGATCTCCTGGAAAACATTATTTCTTACCAGTTTTCGTCATCAGCTCAATGAAGACCATTCACTTTGTTTCTCGAATTTTTCGTACAATTTCAAAGATTTTGACCAAAGCCCATACATAGAAAGATAGAGAATGTTCCGCGCTTCAAAACGAAATATTGACAAGTTTCTCAAACATATGCACACATAGAACAATTGTCAAGATACTAGACAGATATCATGATTTTCATCTGTTTTACGGCTTTAAAAGAATATTTCTTCCACACATCTGCTCAGAATGGGAATGTTTTATATATTGGAAGATAGAGAATTTTCTAGGCTTCAAAATGGATTACGTTATTTTGTTTTAAAAGTTTGTCCTCATAGATTTATTGGCTAAATACTGGATAGATATCTCGATATTTACCCATACTGATATATAAAAAGAATCACAGTTTCTTTCACAAATAGAAATTAGGAACAGTTTTGTATTTAGAAAAATGCAGAATTGAAAAAGCTACAAAATAAGCTATAGTACGTTGTTTCAAACTCTTAAGTTTAATAGACTTATTTGGCAAAATACCGAACCCATATTTACACCACTGTATTTCATTCACTGTCCTGCCAGACGTTAAGCCCACTGCATGCGTTCGATTTTCCGTCCTTTTGATAACATACAATATATTTTCCTCTATATCTAGTTTACTTGGTGAAAACGTCACTGGACAACATCAACAGTGTAATGAATGTCAATATGATTTAATTATTCATAATTTATTAGTTCGTTTAAATAGTTTTGATTTGATAACAACGTCCACATCATCAACTACATCATTTGAAACTAATTTATTACTTCGACAAATTACATCTACTCATCCTTTTATTGTTATTCGTCATTTAAATGTTATTACATTGTATATTCAATCACGTTCAGCAACATTAAAAATAAATGAATATAAAAAACGTGATTCAAAATATCGTCACTATTTTCTATCGATATTTAATTTAATTGAACGTTTACAACCATATATTTTTGATCAAAAATATTCTCAACAATTACAAATTATTCTTGATATTTATATTAAAATTTGTATATCACAACTGTCATCATTATCGTTATCTAATATATCCACGACCATTTTATCATCAAATTATCTTTCCGATTTAATTTATCTAATCGATCATTTACTAAATTTTATTTTAACCTATTTGACAGTAACAAAAGATAATCATCAACTGTTACGAAATTATTATTCAAAATTTTTTGAAAAATTAAAAGATAAAATACAACAAAATAATGAATTATTAAATATTTTAATATCGAATCAAAATAATTCAACTATGAAAAATTTGGCACAGTTAAAAATATTAAATGATTCACTTAATCAAAATGATGATATTATTGGTAAGGGACAAATGATGGAAGCAAGGAAGTCTATCGGGTCTTGCAGCTCATGTTACCGGTATAGGATGTTGAAAAGTGTTCATTTCAATAGTCTGATATCTTTCTTACCATAGATGATGGTCAACTATAACGTTCCTATTAGTTATCAACTACAAATGGAGAGTTTTTTTCGTCATTGAGTTCGTAGATTTGCAAAGAGTCATACGAAGACAACTGTATCGCAACGTAGTGAGTATTCCCTATTGGACAGGTGATCCGACAAGAGAGATGGCTCAAGAAGGAGCTGATCAATAATCGGTGCTGAATTATTTGCTTGTTACATGCTAATTGTTGGAAAACATGCAGTTTTTGCTATCAAAAATTGGCAAATACACTAATTATTGTCATTCTAAAAACGTATAAAGAGAACAGAAATTCAAATAATTGTCACAAAGATTGATTGAGGTTCACCACGAAAAATATATCTTTAGATTACTCAATATATATTCGATTGGTTATTATTATGTTGTACTTCAGCACTAACAAAGAATAATAATAGATCACTTTCTTTTCATCATTTGTCTCTACGTTTCATCCACTAGTTTTTAACGATTTTCCATTTATTCGAAAATAAGCGCCGTAATCATGCAAAAAAAAGAAAAGATGTCTTAGTTCAGACTAAAAGTTAGTGGAATAACGTTTCGTATGACCTTCAAGAGAATGAACGATGAAGATTTCAACTATTCTCTTTGAGCAGAATATAACTTAGTTGGGAATGATGGTTTATTTTCATTTATTTACAATAACGTAAACCACTATTAGTTTTTAGTCGATACGTCAGACAAGTGGCTGTTTTTGAACCGATACTGTTTGTCAGAAAGAGAGATAATAAAAGATAAAAGAGAGAGAGCTAATAAAAGATCTGTTGCTTTTTCGTACGCACTCTTGTTGAGTGACAATAGCATCAGCCTCATTTTGAATCGTACTAAAATGTAATTCATTTTTGTTTATTGTTGTTGCTGTTTTTTCTAGATAATCAACAGACACATCAACATCGAACAACGTTTGATGTTCGTTTGTGTTTGGTTGATCGTCATATTTATGACCAACAACATCAGCTAATATCTGGCAAAAATTTGTCAATAAATCAACAAAAATATGATGATATTCAAAAATTTATTTCAAAATTAAATAATTTAAATTCACTTGATATAGAAGAAATATTAACTATTTTAAATGATTTGAAAGACACAATCGATCATTATTCATCTATTGATATATTAGAATATTTTATCGAATGTTTAACGAATCTCATTCAACATCAAAATAAACAAATTCGAGAATATGCGTATGAATTTATATTGAAATATTTAGAAAAGTATCCACAACGTTCACAATTATTTTCAACATCGTATATCAAATGTTTAACATACACTGATAATATAAATATATTTCAAACGGCTATTGAATATTTTAAAAATTTAATTATCTACTATCGAAAAGAATCAAATGATTTTTTATATTTAATATTAAAATATGGTCTAATTAATAAAATTGATGTTACATCAAATATCACTCAAGCAATACGACTATTAAATTTGTATAGATATGATCAATTATCATTGAACATTAGTGAAGGATCAACATCGACACCGACACAAAATCCGTTACTTTATCAAACAACAAGTGCAATTAACACAAATATTATTTTGGAATAACACACACCTTCCCACTATCTTTCGATTTTAATAAATTCATCTCAAAATATGTATGCGAGAGCAAGTGTATTTTGTCATTTATAATTATATTTTGTTTATTTGTCTTATATTGTTTTGCTTTTTATTTGTTAATTTTTATTTTATCTATTTGTATATGGTTGTAAACAATGAGTATATGTAGAAAAGAAGAAGAGCAAAATTTCAGATGAAAATTTAGTTCAAACTAGTTGTATATTTTCTTCCGTTTTTTTTCCATTGATGTCCGAAGAATTCTGTTGTGTAATGAACTTGATTTAGTCTTTATTTTTGCTCGGTTTTTGAACTTTCGCTAACACAAGAAATACCAGACATGATAGAAAAAACTGTAAACAATCTATATAAAGATCGTCTGGGTGTACAACAAAATCCTGTAGAAAAACAAATGCAAACTAATCAACCAATTCAAAGAAAGATTTTCAAAGTCGGATAGTCAATCGTAAAGGATTAAAGGTAGACTGGTGACTGAAATATAGCCTTTACCACGAGTCGTTAGACGCTGTATAATTGTGGTATACGTAGATGTATTGTGTTGCGGAAAAAATAAAACGCTGTTGCAAAGATCCTTGATATAGTTAATTAGTCGCTGCTAGTACATGTCTTCGCTCGTATGGTGTAAATTCATCTAAAAAATGTTGACAAAAGATCAATGTTAGAAAAGAGGTAGCAAAGGACATTTTTTGAAGTAAGAGCATGGCGATGGAAAAATCGATTCATTTGATTGCTTATAGAAAAAAGGGTCCTGTTTTTGACTCTGCATAATGAGATATGACAACTACGGTGAGAGTGATGATAACGAATTAAACATACATATTGTAATCGCAGCAGCAGTTTTTTCCGCAAGTTGTCCGCTGTCTACTATTTGTCTGCATTTTAAACATTTTGTGTTTTTGCTGTTTTTCGTTTAAACTCATCGTTATCATGTGATGAACTGAAATTTATAATTGTCTTACCAACGTCAGAACTAAAATTATTTATTCTAATCAAAAATCGAGTCAAAAAACGTGTCAAGTAAAATCGAGATTTACATTTCTGTTTGTTGCTCTCTTGTGTTTTATTGAGTAAAACCACAAAGTGCTAGAGAAAACATTTTTTTGACGCTCTGCGCGTGACAAATGCACAAAGAAAAGAGGAACAACAGCGACAAAAATACAACCATGTATCCGACATTTTTGGGTCGGGAAAAATAATCGATATTTATGGAAGAAATCATACTATATTGGTAATGAGACAGGACAGTACAGGATCAGATGGAGACATTGCATAATAAGTAGCAGTATGAATGATGGAAATGAAATCGACAAAGCTCACTAGTAGTCTAATCAGTAATATGTTTTTTGTTGTCTGTAATATTAAAGAGCAGTTACATCTGTCTTAAATCGCTTTATGCGTAGATATGTTTATTCACTTTCCTTATTTCTGAAACTCGATTGGTTTCAACGCTACACAAAACACAACTAGGATGTGAATTATAAAAAGGACGAAAACCACAATAATTGAATCATTTTTCTTTGAAAACGTTTTGTTTGCTTGCCACTTCACTCTTTTATAACATAGACACTGAATTAAGTAAGCATCATCACTCATCAAAAGGAAAAATGCATATCACTTCGTCTTCTAGAATTTTACGAAGAAAAAGAAATGAAATAGAGACTATATAAAGAACAAATACATTAAGAGATCATTAAGATATAGCGACTGTAGGTAAAAGTCAGGAGAGGTAATATTCTACTGTAGAAGATACTGAGATTGAACAATTTTAAAAGATAGTAATGAAGGAAAAGATATTACGAATACTCTCTGAATGAATTTTCATGAGCTACTGTTTGTTGATATAACATGTACAAAGTTTTTATGTTCTCTACGAAAAACTCCAAAAATCATCCAGAAGAAGGAAATATAGCTGAAAAACTTTATATAAAACTTTTGCAAAACAATTTCTACGTTCCAAATAATCTACTCTTTTTTCAGTATGGTAGATACGGCTACACTCGATCTGCTATACCGAAAGCTTTTTAAATACCACATGTGTTTATCATTTTTTAGATGAGCACAGTACCTCCTCCAACAAATGCGTCTGTTGGTGGTAATAATAATACAAAAGCTGATAATAAACCCGCTTTTGCAGATATAGAGGTAAGGGTATTTATATATATAGCATTCTAACTGTTGAATCTATTTGTTGTTGTTTTTTTGTAGGATGCATTTCAAGGTTTAGATGTATCGCGTTTATCATCAGAAGATATTATATCTCGGACACGTTTACTTGACAATGAAGTTAAGGTTTGTACACATTTAATTTTTGGGTTGTTTACCTGTTTGTCATACATTTTGTTTTTTCTACTATTGTCTAGATAATGAAAAATGATATTGTACGTATTTCACATGAGTCACAATCGATGCGGGATAAAATTAAAGATAATAAAGAGAAAATAAAAGTGAATAAAACATTGCCTTATCTTGTATCAAATGTTATTGAGGTAAGTTCTCTCTGTGAAAGTTTTGGTTCTTCGTTTTATTCTTATTATATTATTTTTAGCTTTTTGATTTGGATCCGCAAGGCGAAGAAGATGAAGGAGGTAACATGGATTTAGATGCTCAACGAAAAGGAAAATGTGCTGTTATTAAAACGTCTACAAGACAAGTAACTTGCTACTATTACTTGTTTATAACAAATTTTAAATCTATTATCAATCATTTTAGACATATTTTTTACCTGTTATTGGTTTAGTTGATCCTGAAGAAATGAAGCCAGCTGATTTAGTGGTAACTATATTTATTTTCTATTGACGATTGTATTTGCATTTTAAAATAGAACTATTTTCTTTTGTTTCAAGGGTGTCAATAAAGATTCATATTTAGTACTAGAGAAATTACCGGTGGAATATGATTCACGTGTCAAAGCAATGGAAGTTGATGAACGTCCCACTGAACAATATGGTGATATTGGTGGATTAGATAAACAAATACAAGAATTAATTGAAGCTGTTGTATTACCAATGACACATAAAGATCGATTTGAAGCATTAGGTGTACAACCACCAAAAGGTATTTTTCTTTTCATCATATGGATCTTAAATTAGCAGTTTTAAATTTAGTCCTGATTTCTTTAAAGGTGTCCTATTATACGGTCCACCCGGAACGGGAAAAACACTTTTGGCACGTGCTTGTGCTGCTCAAACAAAATCAGCATTTCTCAAATTAGCTGGACCACAACTTGTTCAAATGTTCATTGGTAAGTCATTTTGATTGTGCTGTTATTTTAGTTTAAATTTCCATTTCTTTTTTTCATCACTGTATAGGTGACGGTGCAAAATTGGTACGTGATGCATTTGCATTAGCAAAAGAAAAAGCTCCGGCAATCATATTTATTGATGAATTAGATGCTATTGGTACAAAACGTTTTGATAGTGAAAAAGCGGGTGATCGTGAAGTACAACGAACAATGTTAGAACTATTGAATCAACTGGATGGTTTTCAACCGAATCATGACATCAAGTATGTATATGTATTATGAGACACAAATAAATATTTGATAAAATTATAGATTTTAATGCTACTTTTCTTTCTCTATTCTTACTGTCCGTAGGAATATTAACACTTTTCTTTTGATTTCTAGAGTTATAGCAGCTACGAATCGTGTAGATATATTGGATCCGGCATTATTACGTTCAGGACGTCTCGATCGAAAAATAGAATTTCCACATCCAAATGAAACGGTAAAAATCCAAAAATAAATGTTCATTTATCTTTTCATTGTTATTATTCTTTTATATTTAGGCACGTGCACGTATTATGCAAATACATAGTAGAAAAATGAATACAAATAAAGATGTAAACTTTGAAGAATTAGCACGTTGTACAGATGATTTCAATGGGGCGCAATGTAAAGCCGTGTGTATCGAAGCTGTAAGTAAAAAAAGACTTGAAATTCTAGCTAAATAGTTGTTGATATTAATATATTTTCGTTTTTAGGGTATGATTGCACTTCGTCGAAATGCTGTTGAAGTCATACATGAAGATTTCATGGATGCTATATTAGAAGTACAAGCAAAGAAAAAAATGAATTTAAATTATTATGCTTAAATTCAATTATTAGAAACAGAAACTGTCATTTTAAATTCTCACTATTTTTTGTTATTCCTTTGTCTTTTCTATTTATTTGTTTGCTTTTTTCTTGTAAAGAAAGTAATTTTTAATTAGACATGAATTCTCAAGAAGGATGAAAGCCTTGTCATTTTGTTAAGTTTCAAAATTGACAACAAAGACAATAAGTCAATACCATCAGTTGAAAATGTTTTAGTTCTGTGAAATATATTATCTATGCATTGTTTTATCATTTTGTTAGTACAGGATCCGATGTCTTTAGCAACGAAATTTTATTTAGCATTGCAACTTCATATATCGTGTCGAAATTTTATATTTTAACATCAATTATATTCTAAAGTTGATACCATTCTGTAATTCCAGTAACAAGCAAAATCTGATATTTTTTTAGAGAAAAAGTACGGATGAATATTGAAGATACTACACAACTTGACGACATCATGAACTATTGAAATAGAAATTCAATACATCATATTTTAGCTTCGATAATTTCATACATCTTTGTCAACATGATATTAGCAAAACATTCTAGATCTTATCCGTCATCACCATTATACCATCAGGAGAGATCAAATAGTAATACAACTGATCAATAAAATGAAATTTAAGGTATTCTAGTAAAAGAGAAAGTTGGAGAACGATTGTATTTTGCTTACATTTCTAATTTTTAAGTAATTATCGACACTTTAATTGTATCAATATTTTTCATTAGCTAAGTAATCTGATACACTGTTGGCGATACATATATTTCTGACGAAGAGAGCAATATTAAGTTGTGTAATTTCATGAAAATTTGAATTCTCTGAATTTACCCTTTTCAAAGCATACTTACCAAATAGTGCCAATTTTCACAAAATTCTTATCAAATTGGTTAAACTTCGTGTATCATATAGACTCTTTTTGTGAATTGGCAGATTCTACACAACTCAACTGAATTTCTGACTGATCCTTTCAGCATTTCTAACAGAATTAAATAAAGTTACACTATCATACAGGGCGTGATGTGAGATTAGGATACCCTACCACTGTCACCAATGTTCTACTAGATTTCTGTCAGAATCAATTAAAATTCTAAACAATATTCTTGCTAGAATGAGTCAGATTCTATGCGTTTCGAGAATACAGAAAATTGATACTATATCACTCTCAAATCTCAAAGCTGAAATCGATCTCAAATAAAAAGATCAATAAAAAGTATAGAAATATGTTTAACGTATTTCAGCGGAGTTCAGCGTTTCGGACTTAAGACTTACACTAGCAATGTATTAAGTAGCATTTTATGATCTTTAGGAATGCGGACCTGAATTGAACATATTTTTCACTTTTTACTAAATTGTTTGTATTTTTCGCATTAATTGCGCTTTTTTTTCTTCTCTCTAAAATTCCTATATAACAAATTTAGTTAAATACATTCGATATAGTGTTAGACAAATGATTTTAATTAGCATATTAATGTCATCCTGGATCACAATATTCACAACACATAACCTTCTACTAATGGGTTTTATGATTATTCTAATAATTACATTTGAATTTTATCGTGATTATTTTTATCTTATTCGTTTTACTGATGATGTTCTAATAGTCGATTCACCTCGTCCATTTAAAATTTGGTTAATTTCAGTACAATACATTCGAAAATTGATTGCATTTTTTAGTAGATGTCGAACAAATATTAGTCAATCATTTCCGGTAGATGCAAATAATACAATAACATCAACAGTTAATAATCAAATATCACCGACTTCTCAATGTTGTTATCATTTTCACAATTACACCTGTCATAGGTGTCTTCAAAGAAGTCCGATTCGTAAATCAATGTTACTACGCATACGAAGTTTATTTCAATCAACACACTTAGTGTCTAAGAATATTTTAACAAGACAACAATCAGGTGTAAATAAAGATTTTTTTCCGTCCTTAACTAAATTTAATCGCTCAACACTACTATTATATTCAAAATTTAGCTATCAATGTTCCGTATGTTTTATTGAAGAAGATGATAAAATTGATCGTCATTGGAGATGGATTTCATTAGGGTGCGGACATATTTATTGTTCCTGTTGTGTGCATAAATTATATTTTGGAAATACACCGTTTTGTCCAAAATGTAGACGGCTGATCGTACTTTCAGATTTAACTATACTATATTTTTAAGCAGTATAGAGTAAAATTGTTAACGTTTACGTTTAAACTTCGTGTATTGATGCTCATTTTTAAAATTTATATCGTTTAAATATTACAAATATAAAAGCTTATTTTTCACTGATTATTGAAACACTTTGAAAACATATGTAATTTTACTTAGACTAACTCTTGAGTTTAGTAAGTCTAGAAAAATATTTATTTATTACACGAAAAAATATCTTAGTATAAGAGAAGTGATAAGTTAGAGAAAATATTAAAGTAAATATTAATCGCCAGCTAATTTCAAAATATCATTGTTCACTAGATTTTAGCGATGTAATAAATATTTAATTATCACTATTAGAAAATGGTGTACTATCAATGCAACCATCGTTTGTTGTCGTCGTTATACGTTCATATTCATGAACCTTTGAATTTGAATATTGTTTTTGTTGATCAGTAATCAACCAGTCATTTGTATTTGGACTACGTCGAGCAATTAGTCTGACTGTAGATTTATTCATACCAGCTAAAAAAAAGTATCAAATAGAAAGAAACATTCTTTCAAACGAAGATAGTCTAGATTACCTGTTTCATCGTTATTAACAAACATTGTATCAAATTGTTCTTCAGAAGCAATCTTTGCACGTACTGGCAAATGCATAATATCTGTTTCCGTAATGATTTCAATTTTTTGATCAAGTTGTGATAGACCATTACCATAATTATTCGTTGATTGTTTAGTATTATTATTACCAATAAGTGCATACAATTCAATGGTAATTGGACGCTTTATACCAGCTGCTAACTATAACAGATAAGATATTTTTCTTAAAATAAATTGTAATATTTGTGTAGAATACGTACCATTCCCGGTTGAAATACCACTCTTAGTCCAGTTCCCAATGGTGGTTGTCTTATTCGGAATCGACATGAATCAATGCCAACATTTTTTATCTCAATATCTGTTGCATATGTAACACCTATAATTATACAATAATGAATTCAGACTGCTTTTATATATTGTTGATAGATAATTGACACTTAACTTCTTTCAATATACCAAAATCAATTCGATCTGGATAGAGTTCACAGCCACGTCTTTCTCGTAATGGTCGATTATTCAAATAGGATACGCCAATTGATGCATTGTTCGGACGTACTTTCATCGGTTCTTCCATTTCAAGAAACTAAAAATTAATTATATAAATGATTCAAATTAAATTACATTTTGGTTATTTACTTAGTTATAACAACAATATTTATAGTATGTTGACTTACACGTGTATGTCTTTCGGCATTTGGTCGCGCTCCTTTGATGCCCGTAGGTAATTTAATGGCTTGAAATCTTCTATTTCCCATAGCATCAAATTCTTTATAGTTTTTTTTAATTGGACTTTGATGATACGGTCGAAACGTTCCATCATATTGATTCATACTAACGGTTTGATTATCTTCAACTTCTAAAATGTATTGAAAACTATTTATTTCAAGAAGAATTTCTATTAATGAAAAAGTTGCAAATCTAGTCGTCTTATACTAGATGTTGTCGTGAAGAAATGTCTATAACTAATTCATACACTAAACAATAGTGTGTCGCATATTTGTGTCGTAGGCAGTGCTGCTGTTACCAAAGACCTTGAACCGTGATTCTAGAAGCTCTTTTAGGCTCTACCTCAACGGAAAGAAAGTCAAATATTTTTTAGTATTCTCATCAATCTTTATTAGGCTGTTTGTTTATTTCTTTTAAATATTGATGAGCTGTATATGGCGCTAATAAGTACAAAGCTAGAACATTTATGGGTCTATGAAGTTCTTTCGAGTCTAAACTCTTGTTATTTGTGGATAAAAATCCTTCTCCAAGTCTTTTTTTCATATTAACCATTTTTTTCTCTAGCAAAAAAGAATCAATCCAGTCCTTGACGACACTCTTAATCCCATGTCTCGGAAACGTAAGTTTTTGGAGATCGATGAATATTACAGGCAGATGCATCGCGTCGGCATGTGTCGCAGAATATGCTGCAATTAGCGATACATGCAACACATTATTTTTTAGTATGTAATCAAGCTATCTGAGAGACGAATTTAGAGACGGAGACCAAAAAACTTCCAGTTTGAAATACATTATTCTCAAGTTATAAGCAAAATAGTGGATAAAAAAACGCCATGAAATGTTGGCCTTTTTTATGTATCTAGAAAAAGACTACTGTGTGGAATCAAAATATTTCAAATAATTAATTCAGTTGTCGTCAACGAAAAGCAAAATGGGAATATTTACCTGTTGAAACACTCCTATTAGTTGGTATTTTATTGGGTTGTTCGTGTGAGTGTCCAAATGACTCTCTTAATTTTTGTAAATTATTAAATGGTTCTAAATATTTTTTATTTGATCGTGAGTGTGGTGTATCGTCGGCTGCTGCTGCTGTATCAACACTACTGCTTCCATCACCGCTGCCACCATTATCACTATTTTTCAACATTCTTGAATCACGTGCTGATAATGCTTTTCTATCTGTTCGTTGTTGTTGTGATTTTTGTCTATCAGTTACTGATATAGGTGATGATTTAGTATCTAATTTTCTTTGTTCAGTACCACCTCTACTAGTTCCATTATGATCTTGTTTTAAATAAGCTTTGCCCCATTCACTTTTGAAATATGGTTCAACAATTCCTTTTGATAAATTACGTTTTAATTTTTTATTTAATTTTTCTTGTCTTAATTCATCATCTAAACGTTCTAAATCAAATTTTCTCGATAATGGTACCACTGATTGCTGTTTGATTCTATCATTTGTTTTTCCTCGATCAGGATGCACAGTTTTCATATATAATAAAATCAAATCATCTATTAAGGAAGAAACAATTACACAATGTATCATTCTTCACTTGTTTAACTAACCCTTTGTATTGCCTTGTGGTCTCACTAATCGCCATATTTTTGTTGCTTTTTCTCTTTCAGCTTTTGTTCGATAGTCTTGTGGTAATAATTTGACATGATAATCTGCTCGATCTTTAACAAATTCAATGTATGCTCTTCAAAAACAAAAAACAAATCAGAATATTGACAAACAGTAGACAAGAATTAACTATATTTACTTTAGTGCTCTAAATAATTTCAATCTTATATCATCATTAACACGTGGAAATTCTAAGAATTGTCTATATACAAGTGCTTTAGGCATATCGTATAATGGTTGTGGTGTCAATGCTGTTGGTGTCATTGTAATTGTTGATTTTTGTTGATTTGATGAGATAACATTTCGAAGTATGGCACTCGTATCCGATCGACTTGGATTGGTTTTTGGATTATTGGATAATCCACTATCCGAAAATGATGAATAACTTCGTGTAATAGTTGCTGTATTATTTCTCAAACTTTTTGGTAAAATGGAATCATCATCATACACTGTCGACCAACGTTTATGAATTTCATCTTCAAGAAAATCAAGTATTGTATAAATTAAACTGATATAAATCGTGAAAAAATGAGAATATGATATACCTTGAAATGGTTTCATCACTGTTGCACCAGTTATTTTTGGATTACTTAACAATGGTTCTCGTACAACAGCCTGTTAAGGAAAAAATAAGATAGAATAACAGTGAAGACAAAACCATAATCAAATATTACTGTTCCAGGATCAAGATCCATTGTACGAAGATAATTGTATAAATCTTTGAAGCGTAATAATTCTGTGCCGCTTCCATCTTGATGTACAATAAAATATCTAAATTAAATTAACTTGATTTTAAAAACGAAAAAAACAAACAAATTATATCTTCTAGAGTTCTACCGTGGAACATGCAATTCCATTGAACCAAAATATTCTTTTTCTCCTGATGCTGTTTTTGAATATGTATCACCGGTTGATTCTACACAATATTGTGTTTGTTCATGATCAATACCATCTAATAACAAATCTGCATTTTGTGAAAGAATAAACTTTGCTGGTTCAACACGTGTTAATATTTCTTGAGTACGTTTCGAGAATGTTGATCTATAGAACAGATAAAAATTTGTTAAAGAAAATAAACACACAAACAATTGATATCGAAGCACATACTGTTGAAAATCAAATAAAACATCTCCATTTTCATTAATATCAAATTTCTCTCCTTCACATTCGAATACAGAATATGTACCTGTTATTACATAAGAAAACATCAGTAGAAAAAGAAATATTTTAAATAGATACTCTACCATTTGCGTATATTTCAATTAAACTTCCATCACTGAATATTGTTCGACAATCACTTGTTTGACAGTTAAATGCTACTGTCGCATAACCAGGTGCTTCTACTTTAACATGGGGTATTTTCTCATAATTTTTTTCGCCTTAAAATTCAGACAGTATTCATGATAGACTCATTCTAATTTCATCAATTATACCTGTTTCATGATCTCCATGATAATTATTATTTCGTTGCTCTATGGCGTGATATGTGGTGATGCGTGTACCATCGGGAAAAATCACTAGTCGTGTATTGTCAACACGATAAACAATAACTACTTTATCTTCACGATGAATAACTTGCTGAACAAAAAAAACAAAACATCACAAAACAATCGTCAAAATAGTTGCGAGAATAATTATTTGTTAATAGAGCATACCTCTGATGTCTTTGGATTACTTTCTAGTATTAATCTCATATTTCCTATTTTTTCATAATCTCCATTAGGAATATTTTGGATGAAAACTTGTCCATCTGCGCTAATACAACGCCATTCATATGTTGGTTTTTCATCCATTATTGGAATATCTTCTTGTTTGAACTCGGGTTTTTTCTTGCCCACAGGAGCTACAATTTTACTCTTTTAACTTTTCTTATATTATTTCTTTAGTGGCATACCTTTTGCGTCTCGCACATCTTTTTTTATCGTTTGTTGTGGTGATTGTTGTTCTGGTGTATCCATATCTGGTTCTGCTTGAGATACCATTGTTCGCATAAACATTTCACCATCTGGACATAAAACCTTTTAATTACAACCAGTTTAAATCTTAATTAAGAAATAACAGTTTAAAGAAAAAAATTTATCTTACCGTTACTTCTCCATTTCGTTTGAATATCATTACATTTCCATTTGATTCAATGATACGTGAATTTTCTTGATAAGCATTAATTCTTGATTGTTCACATGAATGATAGCCTTTTGAACAAGAGGCATAAAATTGTTTGACAGTTAAACGATGAGGTGTATTATCTTCTGTTGGCTTCACACCTTAAAAAATGGACAAAAAATTATTTGTCTCAAAATTTTCTACGTCAGTTTTTTTCGATGAATATTACCAACAAATGTTTCAGGATAGTATGTTATTACCAATCCAGTTGGTATGGAGACAGTTAAACGTTGAAATGGATTTATCGTAAATTGAGGCTCTTCGGGTTTTTCCTTAAGTACAGAAAAAGAAAAACAAACAATGACAAGAGAGATAAAACTGCATTGAATAGTGCACCGTACTATAAAAACATTTGTGCACGAAATGTGATTCTGTTGTGCATCACTATGACATTAATTTAAACAATCTTACCTCAACAACAGGTACGTGTTCCTATAATCGCAGGTGTTATTTATAGGCGATCGTAATTAACTCACATTTTACATTATAAAATAGATATATTTATCACAAAAACATTTAGTAATTACCACTGGTGGAGGTTCAACTTCAACTGGTTTTCCTTTTTTCTTTTGTTTCGCGTCTTTTTTCTTATCGTCTAATTTGTCCTCATGAGGAGTTTCTGTTACCGGTGGTGGCGGCGGGGGTTCAGTTACTGTTTGTGCTCCTTGAATTTCAACTAAATGAATCTAATAGTGTAAAAAAGGCCATCAATTATACGATTGATGTGTGCTTTACTTGATTTTGGTGGCTCTTGGTTATATGTACTGCATGTGAGAATCATTCCTGAATTTAATTGTGCTGTAAATACACCGTAGTCAGCTACTTTTTTCGACTTTGTCTCATTTGTGGAAGCTAATGAAAAATAATGCAACTTGATAGAATTGTGTACATAACATCTGATATGACTAACCATTAATAGATTTTGATGCTTCATCTTGTTCATTGTTGACTTGTTGTTGAGGATGTTGAAGTAACGTTGTTGCCGATGACATTGATACTTTATCCTTTTCTTGTTGCTGCTCACCATCGTACTTATCTACTTCTGATCGTGCTGTATTAGCTTTAAATGATTGCAATGGATTTAACAATTGTACTTTATAGATACTACGATTTCGATGTAACATTGTCGATATGTGCGTATTGCCACGTTTAAAACTGTCAACTTTCGTGCGAATGAAACAACCATCCGGTACTAATAAATGTGTAGTATCACTCTGAACGCTCAATAATTTGTTACCAAGACTATAGCCAATAAACTGACAAAAAAAGATTATTGTAGGGAGAGAAAAATCATCAAAGGCCTATCAACTTACCATTTCATTCTCGGATTTTTCTTTCAATTCTTTAGATTCTTTCGAATCCTAAACACGAGAAATTGTAAATTTCATATCAACATATCTAACTAAAAATAGAATATTTACTCGATCCATATTCGATTGTGCTAAATGATGTTTTGACTCTTTTTCAGCTTTTGGTGATTTTGATTTTGGCGGTGACTTTGTTCCCGTGTTTTTCTTCTCGGCTGATGTTGCACGAGGACTCCTCTTTCCCGCTGCTGATGATGGTTTTTTTCCCTTTGATTCTTTTGATTGTTGATCCAGTTTTTGTTCCAGTACTTCTTTATCTTTTTTTGTTTTCCATGCTTTCAATGAATTTTGATAAACATAATCTTCTTTGATCACGTGCTCATCATCTGTATCATTACCACTATCCGATGTGTCACTGGGTGATCGTGACGTTTCTAACTCAAGAATAATGCCAGGAGAAAAACTATACTAAATTGATTAAATGAACAAAACTTACTTTTTACAGCACTGGCGACTTTTTTCTCTGCAGCGGTGACATTTGATGCACCAGATGCTTGCCTAAGGTATGTTTGTACTTCTTTTGCAAGTAATTCAGCTTGATATTTGGCTTCTTCATCTCGTAGCCAATCAACTATTTCATAGGATATTTCATCAAGAAAATTTCTAAAATGGTATCGAGATAAAAATAAAATCGATACATTTGTATAACTTTTGAATCATACCTAAATCCAACATCTGAAAAAAGTTTTCGATTTACATTTTCAAATGCCATTGTTTTGCCTTCAGGCACTGGCATTGATAAAACAACCATATGCGTATGATCACGACGATTGTAATAAGTATCAATGTGAGAATGAGTAAAAATAGCATCATCAATAACCTAAACATAAGAATTACAATGACAAACATGTCGACAACATCGTAATAGAAAATATTAACCTGGGCAAAAACGTTCGGTTCAAAATGTTCAGCAAAATTCCAGTCATTTAAATTTCGCTTGTGAAAATGTTTGATGTTTTGCATCACATTATTAACATCACCCATAAATGGATTAACACGTGCAACTTGATGGAAGGCATCTTCAGGATTATTTACATCGAAACGTACAGAATGTCCTAAAAAAATAGAGAAAATAATGAAAATATATAATCGGATAAAAATTTCATTGGGGTTAATAAGTGATACAATCAAACTGAACAGCCTCTAATTACTCTCAGATATTGATGATAAAATAGTAGCATCATATAAAATAGTTGTATTTTATATGTGCTTGAGAGCATAGATAAAAAAATCACCAACAAATACAAAACACGCATGCAATATGATATAGATGAGAACTTCCATTCTCACACACATATAGATATATGCAATTTATCGTACACACGTGAAAACAATAAATACCTAAATCTGAATCTATAAATAAAATGGATAATGAAAATAAAGCTTTTTAAAAAAATTAAAAATACATCTTTACCTGATCGTTTTGGTGATTGACTACGATCTCTTAAAATAGATCCTTTACCGGATTGACTGCGTGGGGCTAGGTAAAAAGAAGAGAATTTATGTTCCTATTAGAAACAAAAAATGATGACTTACATGATGACACTGGGCTGGGTGTTGATGAAGAAATGAGACCTGTTTTGTCGTTTTCAACTGACATTAATTGGATAATATCCGGATATGGATCATCCCAACAGATATTGTCTTCTTTTCCCGTCTCATTATCGTCCAACTTTATAAAATGTTTATCGTATACACTACGATCATCATTTATTTGTGTTGATTGGGCTGTCATATCCGAATCCGTTGACGGTGCTGTCAACTGCATACATTCAAATACAAATTGTTTTAAAGCATGATCAACATCTAATAAAGAAAAATTTAATTCACAGCTTTGAAAAGAGCATTAATAATGATGCAAGTACCAGTGACAACCAATTCTTCATCTGTACAAAAATGTAGTAATTCATTTAATCTTGCTTCTCGTTGTTGTGCTTGATCAGGCGTGATTCGTGGTAATATTGATAAACTGGCTAATTTTGTGAATGATAATAAGTCTTGTTCGATTTTCATTAAATCAACTGTTTCTAAACCATTTAATGTAGTTAAACGTTGTTTGATATTATCGCACCAATAAATCATATTCGGACCAGAACCAGTTGCTTTCACAAATGGAGATTTAGGCACGATATTTTCAACTTCCTACAAGTAAAGCAGAAACTACAATAGTAGTCACCAGAGCTCCATATGAACTCTTATTTTTCAATCCAGCCCAATTCGTGGGCTTAAACTTTCGTGAACAGTTCAGATCGGGAGTGTCTGCATCCATTTTTTGCAGTACATGAGTCGAAAAAGGATAATTCAATCCAGTCCACGAAAATATCTGCCTAATAGACGTCATAGCTTTAAATTTGAAGACTGATATTGGTCTTGGAGCTCGTTCACGTCCTCGCTAGAAAAATCAGCCTGATTAAGCACAAGACAGTGGCCCTGGAAACTTGTCAGACGGAACAAGAAAAGCATAATAGCTGGTTGATACGATAGAACATCCTTAAATTACTCACGAGGAAACCTCAAGGTGATAAATCACTTTTTGATCGAAATCTAGTGAGTTACAGGTTATCGACCATGCTGATTCCGAATATGGCCATAGGAGTTCCCCATAGCCCTTCGAAGATCCGGTCTTCTGGAAAATCAGTTTTTCAGAAACTCTAAAAAATAACTCAAACCGTTCTTAACAATACAGGATTGTAGCCCGCACGTTTTTGATTAACACATTGCACGCTGTCTACTGATATATCAGTAGCCCAATTTGTTCTATTCAATGATGTCGTCAGCGGGCAATGGGTTAAAATGAGACATCTCCCAGCTCTACACGGCCTTTCTTTGCCAAGTTATAGAATTTATAAGAAAAGCCCTAAATTAATTATTTCTGTAGCTTTGAGCTAACAATGAACAATTTAGGGCTTTTCTTATAAATTCTATAACTTGGCAAAGAAAGGCCGTGTAGAGCTGGGAGATGTCTCATTTTAATCAAAAACGTGCGGGCTACAATCCTGTATTGTTAAGAACGGTTTGGGTTATTTTTTAGAGTTTCTGAAAAACTGATTTTCCAGAAGACCGGATCTTCGAAGGGCTATGGGGAACTCCTATGGCCATATTTGGAATCAGCATGGTCGATAACCTGTAACTCACTAGATTTCGATCAAAAAGTGATTTATCACCTTGAGGTTCCCTCGTCAGTGATATCCAAAAGCGTCATCTTAAAGATGTTAAATTTCTCCGTTGCATATCAGATATTACTGATATTACTAAGTAAACACTGTTAGTTACTAAATTATTCTCTTCGTCCTACGTTCATAGAACTGAGCGAAGTGATTCAGGTGGTCGTAACCACCTAGTCCATTCTAAGTCTATGGTCTCAAAAGTTTTCGAGCCCACTGAACTGAACTCTGGCATGTGTCCAGTCCACACGAAACTCTGATAGTCACAATAGTAACCTTTTGCTGCCCTTCATGCATTGATAATGAAAGAAGTTTTTCACGTAAATAATGTGTAATATCATCACATGTTGCTCGTGGTTGTACTGGTTTTTCTTTTTGTGCTGATTGAACTTCCACCTTGAAATCAAATTAGAAGTGTATTTTTTTACGGACACTTGTCTTCCAATATTACCTGTTCAAGTATACTGTGTAGAACAAGTGATATACTAATTGATTCGGATGGTACCAACGATGTTAGTTCAGTATAATTTTTTGCATCCGATGAATTATCGACTAATTTTTCTTCTACAACAAGAATGATGAGTTAAGAAAAATGGCTTTTTAAAGAACAGGTCAGATGTATACCGGTTACTGGAATAGGTAAAACTTTCATTTGCTGATTAAATGCAACATATTGTCGTTTTCGTTGAACAAGACGATAAGCTATATCAGCCACAGCACTGTATAACGATTGAGATAATCGAATCTATAAATAAATAAATATTAAGAAAAAAATATGTTTTCAACAATAATGAGTCAGTACAAATATGAAACAAACGTCAATACCCTTTCTTCAGCATTATTCCATGAAGATGGTATAACGCTACCTAATACTTTTAAATCTGTTAAAACAATGTCTTGTAACATTGAGCGATCATTTGCATTATCTAATGTTGGTAAAAGATTTGTCCAAAATGAATTTAAAGCCTGTTCATTTTTATGCATTTCGGCGGCAGCTTGTTCAGAAGTCACTAAAGAAAACAAGCTTTGTTAACCACAATTATAGTTTTATTAGTATAGATAATCTCTGACTCTGTATATTTGCTCTCGTGTTAAATTGATCTTATCAATTCATACATTCTTATTGATATTATCTCAAAAGAAAGTTGTTGTTCATGTGTTAAGCGTAGACTACCTAATGAGAGAACCTATCGAACTGTTACCTCGCTTTTTCAGCCAAATCCAGTGGGTTATAGGTACTCGACCACGCTGATTCTGAATATGAACATGAGAGCTGCCATGCCTTCGAAGACTTCCAGAAAACTGGGTCTTCGAAGGCAGGGCAGCTCTCATGTTCATATTCAGAATCAGCGTGGTCGAGTACCTATAACCCACTGGATTTGGCTGAAAAAGCGAGGTAACAGTTCATAGGTTCCCTTGCAAGAGAAACCACCCGCTCTTCTTTTCCGTTATAAGCATTGATTGTGCGCGTGCCACTCAATCAACTTTTAATGTTAATTAGCAATGACTGTTACTATTTGTCGACTAATTAGTATTGCTCGCTGTTTGTGAATTATTTTCAAAATACCAACTTATATTATTGTTGTGTGAATCGAAAATAATTATTTGTATTCTTATTAACCGGGAAAACAGTTAGTCTACGATGTCAAACACTCACACTCATGTTAATAATTCTTACTTATTGAATCTTTATCTAAAAATATCATTCCAGTTGAACAAGAAAATCTATTCGAATAGTCGTTTATTTTGTTGCGATGCAAGCGAAGACAATAAACATTCGATTCTTCTTTATTTGTTCCTACTTACTTGTATCTTTGAGTACATCAGCTTTTAATGTTTGTTCTTGGTGTTCTCGTTGTATCATTTCATTATATAAACGTTTTGTCTCCTCAATTTCATCACATGACACATTCATCACACTATCAACAATGACATCTAAATCTTCTAATTGTTGAATGATATTTACGGAATTGAAACCACTCAGAAGCACATATTGATTTACACCGTCTTTGGGTTCGTCATCTTAAGAAAAATAGATGTAAAAGATGGTATTACCAGCAAGAAGTAAAGAGCTTTTCCAGCAAAAGAAAAATTTCATTTTTAAGCTGCAGAAGAAATCACAAAGTAAAAATGCCTGGGCAAATAGCTTGTTCGATACCTTCATCTAAAGTTTGAGTTTCTATAAAACATGAATCAATCTTTTGTCTATAAATTCACAACAGACATCTGTTTACCTACCAATATATTTTGTTTCATCAATAATTTGATCACGCGTTTTAACACTAGTACTCTTTTCAATAGGTGCATCCGATGTGGAGATTTGGGTAGGGAGTGGGGTCTTTTTAGCCATTGCTGGTGGTTTTGGAGATTTTTTTCCACCAGGTGATTTTGGTTTTTCAACTTTTAACGTATTCGAATTGGCTGCCGCTTTGGCAGATGTCTAAAACAGGAACGATATTTATGATGGTTTGGGTTGTGTGTAGATAAATACATACAACTATTGCTGTTCGATTTTTAACATCCTTTTTGAAATCTAATAACTTAGATTTAATTAATTTTCCCCATAATTGATCAGATATTTCTTCTCCATTGTCCAATGTTTGTTTGGCATGTTCATAGGCACCAATGAACTGTGATGATGCAAATGCAGCAGCACTGGCTGTTTGATTTTTAGTATTCTTTCCCACTTTCCCCAATGATTTAATCTATTGATAAAATGGAAAATGGAAAAATACATTGACAGAACACTTTGCTATAATGCTTACGCTTTCAAGAAGTTCTTGTTTAGCAATGATATCGAAACGCCGTCGAAGACCTTGTGTAACAGATTTTTCAATTAGATCAATATAAATTTGATTCACTGCGGTATCAGGCGTTAAAAAGCAAACAAATGTACGCCAGTCGTCCTAGAAAAGTACAGATTAAGTTGAATAAAAGTTTAGTTTTTATAATTGTGTACAATATTTTTTACCTGATTGAATGATGTTGTAGCTAATGCTGATTCCCATGCTGCAGCTCCGGTTGGTTTCGCACTCTGAGCACCTTTACCTCTCGGACTTTTAGGTTTCGGTGGCATTGATCTACAAAAAAACAGATTTTCATCGAGCTGAGAAGATGGTGGAAATTCAATTCACTAAATAGTTGTTGGAAATGATCTATCATAATAAATTCAAAATCGTTCATAAAATACGAGAATGATTGTTATCGGTTTTTTAAACACTTTTGATAAAGAGATAACTGATGCACGTTGTAGCTAAAGATTTTGGCGCATCTTTTTTAAATAAAATAAGTTTGAAAATCTTTATTAAAATTAGGATTTCCAAAAGATCTTTGGAATAAAATGTTTTTTTAATGCTTTTTCAGATATTCAAATATGGTTGAAAATAACCTGAAATGCTCTCTAAACAAACATGCAGACCTAGTCTTTTAACCTATAATCATTTCTAAACAACATAAACTTTCATATGTATCCTAAAATTGACCTTATAAACACATGGGAACATGGTTTATCATCCAACGATTTTTAAATTAATTTGTTCCAGAAAAGATGCGTCAAATCCTTGACTACAACATCTTTTATCAGAAGTGTTTAAAAAAAAACGATCACAATCATCCTCTTATCTTGTAGTTAATACACATTTTAATATTTAACAAAGATATATATTTTCAATTGTAAGATAAATTAATTACAAAAATATTAATAATTGATTATCTGGACTATGCCACATTAGGAGTAACTTTTGCGTTTATTTCAACACCTTTTTGTAAAATGTGTAGTTATTCAGTTACATAATCTGCCAAAAATGGGAAATGTCATATTCTGTATCTTAAACATTTCTCTTCAAAATGACAGTCATGAAAAGTTCAGCTGATGACTAAATTAAGAGATTGAACTTGTGAAAGAAAAGTCTTTGTAAGTTATTTGACTTAATAGTTTAAATAGTATAAAACGTATCAGAATCACACAAAAATTAACCGTTAGGTAGAATGGTTCATCCGATAAGTTTTAGGACATATTAATTTCTTTTCCTCTAACACACATTAAGAGTTTTACTTCTAAAATCTATAGCTTTTTGATATATTTCGAGTACAGGTGAATATAATATAGCATTGAAACATAATAAATTCTAAATTATTTTCACTAATAAGATAACAATATGTTATTTTATCGTTGCATTACTCTTTTTTATTTATTCACACTGACAATAACTGGAATTTTTTAATGCAACATGCTTTAGCTTAACTTTGTCACACTTTTTTTTTTCGCATCCTTGAATTAACGAGCATTATTATGTAAAAGAAACAGTTTTCTCAAAAATTATAAAAAAAAATATCTCAGAGAGTAATGTTGAAAACGAGACTTCAATTTTATCGTTGTGACATTTAGAATAACTTCTTTAATATAATATGTTAAATAATTAGAGATATTTTTAGAATTTTATCTAATATCAGCATCTATTTCATTCAGTACATAATGAGTATAGAGCTATAGTTTCTTAACAACACCTGAAATATTTGAAATATTCTCGTATCATTACGTTACATCATATCACTAATCAAAACTATTTGGCGTTCTTCTGTCAAAATACGTATTTATAGTAATAATAAAAATGCGGATTTTTTTACCACATGTTCTTTCTCATTTCTTTATTTTTCACGGTTCATCAATCGTTGAATATAATAATGATTAAAGGATGCTTGCGAGGTGCTGCTCTATATGTAAGGGTATAAAAACAATGTACAACAATAATTTGATGGGTTCTTCGAAAGAACAAGAAAAAAGAAAATTAAATAAATTGACATTTTTACACGTTAATAGCTGTGTATATGTACATCAATATCAATAACATATATTTTCTCATGCTTTTTTTTGATCACATGTAAGATAGAAAGATTTAATCCTTTTTACGTTGGAAAAATAATACAATAAAAAAATAATTGTCCCCAATTTCGTCACTAAACATATACCAAAAATATTCTAAGCTATAAGTTAGCTATGGAAGATATTATTGAACTTGAAACATTTTTAACATCAACTATAAACGAAATAACAAATGACAATGATGAGGAACAGTTAGATCCGACTTCAATTGCACATAGTCCATATTATGGTTGTACAGTACGTGTTATTTCAAAAGCAAAACTAACATATGATGGGATATTGGATGCAATTAGTACCGACAAAGATATTATTGTTCTTAAAAATGTCAAAGTAAATGGATTAATTCGTACATCTTTTAAGAAAAACAAAGATAATGACAAAAATCATATACCGATGAATAATGACCAAAATAAAGGTAAATATTAATTAGTGTATTATATACCTACTAATTTTTTACTCTTTTTTTTCTATTCATATAGACGATGATATTAACAGTGAGCAGTTGAAAGCTGCCATGCTCGATCATTTAACCAGTGATTTTCGTGTCTACGATCAAGTATGTCTTAACGTCCGTGATATTCAAGAATTAAAACTTATTCAAATGCCAGATTTTCATCATACAAAACAAAAATTACGTTCAATTGATCCATGTTTAATTGATATTAAATTGTCCTCAGACGATCAATCCGATTATTTCAGCAATAATCAGTCTATCAATAATACTACAATAACGCGACGATCACCGTCACAGCCAACAACATCTACATGGATAAACTCTCATGATCTTAACGATTCACAATCGATAAATCACCAACTTCCAATATCTCCTACCAATGATTTACCCAGTTTGCAACTATCTAGTTCGAATGAATCATCATTCAGTCAAGGCAGCGCTGTTGCAGATGAAAGTAACGATGATTCAATAGATGAACAATTGAATAAATTCAACAAACTTAAAATAAACAGTTCGAAGCCAGTAACAAATCCAATTTCTCGTACAGAGAACTCAGCCACTTTAATTGCAAAAAAGATTCTTTCACGAAAAGTAGAAAAACGACCGGATCCTGTTCATTCACCAATTGATACAAATACGTCCGCTGGTCGAATGTTACCATTAAAATATCTTTTTCCAGATAGTAAAGAATCCGTGTATGGCAATCTAAAAACAGCGCCAAAATCTGTTAATAATACAATTAAGAAACCACCTTTGATGGAGCGTCGAAAATCATCACCTATTCGAGTAACAATAACGAGTACACTTAATCCAAATGCGCCACCATTTATAGTACCCGAAAATACGAATGGTTCTAGAAAACCAAATCCAAATAGAATTTTGTCACAGAATCCGAGTTATCCATCGTTTACGTTTTATGAAAAACGTCGATTTCGTCCACGTTTACAGCCAGTACATTCACCAGAACGCATGCCGTACGGTATCAATCCGAATCCAAGATTTATGCCTCCAACAAGACAAATCATAAAGCGCAACTTTAATCAGCAATTACCAAACAGAATGTCACTACACAATCCGCAACAAGTACATCCATCGTCACAAACAATAAATCGCACTCGTCAGAATTCAACACCAGACAGGCGGTATTATAACAATAATACTAAATCGACTACGATTCAGCAACAAGGAGGATACTCGTATCCTTATCCGAAGAAAAAAGCAATCAGTTATGATTCTCTTGAACCATCGGTACAACAACAAGGTTAGAAAAAATCGACTTAGTTAAGAGAAGCACAGACAGTTAAATTCATTTTTTTTTCTCGTCTTATAGGATTTCCAGAATTTCAGCGACAAAATTCAACAAGTGTCTTGGATAATCAAACTTCTGTACCACACACATCTCACCTATTATTTAGTCAATCAAACGCACCACTAATTAAAGAGAGACATTCTGCACGTGAAACAACAGCTTATAACCACAGTACACGCTCTCTTCAGGCAAGTTCAAGTATGCCGCAAACGTGGGAAATACATTCAGCAAGAAATCATTTGGCTCTTCCTCAATCTGGTGAATTTCACCGACGTGGTCAACGAACGATTAGTGGTACGAGTAGTGGAAGTAGTTTGAGTTGTGACATCTACATTGGTCCTCATTCCGTTTCTCAAGTTGCGTACGGTCAACAACGAACGGATATTATAACCGATGATAACAATGAAAAAGCATCAGATTATGATTTTGAAAAGGCAAATAATGAATTTCGACGATATGTGGAACTAGAACAGTTAGTCACAAGAAAAACACCTGAGATAGATTCCGATCAACTGTATAAGAAAGAGTTATCATTTTTTGATCGTATCTCTTGTGCAGCAACAACTGGAACAGCGGTAGGATATGCAGAAATACCAGAAGATGAAAGAAATTTGGAAACATTTGGTGAAGATGCATTACTAACAGCCGGAGAGAGTGTATGGGAATAATACAAAACTCTCGCCTTACAATAAAATGTACATTTCGCTTCAGGTTCGAGTTGTTCTACTAACATTTTAAACAAAAATGAAAACGCAGACATACCAGAACAGGGTAGATGCTTACTACAATAAAACGTTGAATGGAGATGTTCTGAAGACTGTAAAAATTTGAGCAAACGAGTTGAGATATCGACAGTGCATATATGCGGGTCGATTAACCCCAAACAGGCTTTCTCTTAAGCCGTCGCACAAATTTTAACATCTTCAATATAATACACCTTCATTCAACAAATCACTATAAGCAGATCATGATTTTACCGACTTGGTGCAATGTGTATAGAGAGAGATAACGTTAAAACCGTCTAATAACTGAATTTTCAATACATATCTTTATCATAGCCGTTGCCATTACAGCCGTATGTCTACTAAGCAACACCCCCGGAAACACAAATATTTTTTTTTACGTATTTATCAAACACAAATAGAAATGTTTTTTTATATTTTAAAATAAACAAAAGTACCACAAGAAATTGACAAAAAAACCTTTCTCTTCGACTTAACACGCAAAAGACGGGAGCACCCTCTATCGTTCGATTATAGTATCTTTTGAATAATCAAATTTAATTTTATGTAGCATATCAGTTTCAAGTTTTGGTAGAAAAATTATATGAAAGCCTTAAGCTCAAACCTCTCCTATACTAGCTAGCAGAATAAGACAGGGCAGGCTCGAGAATTTGTCGAACATTTGTATTTAATACCGTCGGTTACACTATATAATCTGAAATCAGACGATATTCTCCACACATCGGTGAGAAGAATACTGCTCAGTACATCGCTTCAGATTTATTCATCTTTTTGTTTTGTTGGTTGGAGGAGTGATTACAAGAAGAACGAGAAAAAATTAAGAGATTTCCAGAAGTCGCCGAGGCACATGAACTTTCACTTGAGTTACACAGTCCGTCGTAGGATGTGCTAACATGACTGTCATCCATGACTATCGGCCAGTCTAAAAATAAAATGAGAATCTTGAAAAACTTTCAGTTATATTAGTTTTTACTGATGGTACTTTGAAAATACTGGAGCGATTTACCGACAGTATTTTGCTAATATTCAAGACATGTACAGCTTAGGATAATTAATATAAGGGGAACCACTCTCTATATTCAGAACACGTTTTTCTACACCTTGTATCTGGTTTGAACAAAAATTTCACTGATTATCAAGATTATATTTGTGGGTTATGAAAAAACTTCTGCTCAAAATATTGAGTCGTTCAAGAGTTATAGCTGTCCTCAGAAACGTTTTTTCTAACTGTTTTATTCCAGTGTGTAACAGGACCAATATGTGTAATTCAGAGTGAAGTATTTAGCCCGCGATTTTTACAGAACTCTTAATGTTTTTTTGATGAAAAATTTTTCTTTTTTGCAGTATCATTACACCCTAAGCGCATGAAATGTAAGATTCTGTTACAATGAGGTTGAAACATGTTTAAGCACAAGCTTATTAAGAAATTTGTTTTTTTTCATACTACCTCGAAACGTGTTTTTATTGATTTCACACTATTTTCGACGAGAAATTGAACACCCTGTTGGCAGCCGTGCCTGCAGAAGTTGCAGAGAAAATTTTTCTGAAGAAAATATTACACAGTAGTAGTTTGTAGCATAGTATTAACAAAATATTTATCAAATTTAAAGTATTCCACATTAAACTATGTTATATTCATCAGGCATACTCAAATGCGCAAATAATAAGACCGAATTTTCAAAATACCTTTGAATTCTACATTTTGAATCCATGAAGCTGGATATTACTGATAATGACGTTATATTGCAAATACTACGCAATATCAATTTCTTATTTTGATCGAAATATTTTTATAATCAAGTGCAACATACAGATAATAACATGATGTATTACTGTTGCGTGCAACTTCGCTAGAACAACTCAATAACACCCAGAAAAAAATCTGAATGTTCGTTTTTCTAGGTAACACATAAAAAATTCAACTTTTTTTCAATGCTTATATAGTGAAATGTTAGAAAAACTTTAATTTATCTTTACAACATCACATTTCGTTTGGATGATTATCATCAACAAATACGACTTAATAAAATAGAGAGAATATAATGTAAAATAGCTGAGAACAAAACAAAGAGATGACATCGATAGAAAAATGAGAGTATAAAAAACAATAACAACATTAGAATAAAACGTAGCCATGATTTCTGTTGAGAATAACACACAAAAAGTTAGGTATATGTCGTATATTTGTGAGGTACAAAGTTGACGATCAGATAGCGTAGTGCAAAAAAAAATGAATGATATAAATGATTGAAGTTCTGGATTCAAATTCAAATCAGAGCATGTCATTTTTTCCTCACGTGGAGAAAGATATGCAAAACCAACCACATCTTCCATCTATATCGAATTCATTATTTTTACATCATGCAGATGATTGTTCGCCGCAGGATATTGTTGAATGAGTGAAGTTGATGTTGAAAATTAATAACTATCAACAGAACTGCTACTACGTAGATGAATAATAACTATTAAATTAAAAATAATTAATATAGAGCTTGTAATAACCGATCCTGTAAAAATAGACAATGAGCATTTAGAAATTAAAATTTGTTAAGTTCTAGACCTTTTACCTGGTCCTGAACAGACGACTTGTATTGCGGGCACACATCTTCCAGTATTTTGATTAAAACGTTTGTTAACTGGGCATTTTGTTGTATTTAATAATCGCTGATCAACACATTGAATCGCTACTTGACATCCAGGTTTTGTCCGATCAAGATACCAACCATCAGCATGGTTTAAACATGATGGATATAAATCACATATTGATTGATCTTCGAAATAATGACCTAAAACATATAAAACAGATACGATCTATTAATTCTTCGATAACAGAAAATAAGACTTACAAAGATTGGTACACGCTCTTCTTCCCGCACACTCAACTTTTTTATAAAATTCACAACGTTTTGTGGTAATATCAAATTGCAATGGTGAACGACAAGCATATGTTATGAAACGACCGTTAATACATTCTTGATAATGACAGCAACTTTTTAGATCAACAAATTTTGCACCCTCATTTTGAGCTTGACATTTATTTCGACCTGCGAAGAAAAATAACTTATTGATTAGATAGTTCGATGCCGTCGGTTTGATAGTCTTACAAGTAACATTATATGGATAATTGCAACTTCCATGCTCTTTATCATAGTATAACGTTGCCGGACATGGTCGAATTTGATCAACACCATTGAGACAATAATGAAATATTGAACAGTCGTATGGATCAGGATAAGTGATTGGTTTATCACTCATAGGACATTGTATCGCGGCATTTCCATTTGGCATGGGAGAATTAACTTCTGGTACGACATAAGGAGTAAGATATGTTGTCAGTTTAGAATTTGGTTGACTTTTAGTTGGACCTAGAAAAACGAACAGAGACATCACTCTTATCTCGTATCTATCTAAGATGACATTCAACATACAATCTGATTGAGATGGCCAACCACACAGTTTAAGTTTTTGAGACCAATATAAACCGGGTGGACATAATTTGAATTCTCGTGGTTGACCTAAAATCAATTAGTTAGTTTAATTTATTTAACGAGGATTATAATATACAAAAACCTTTTTCTCTCTACATATAACAATAAATAGAGTAGCACAAGAAGTAAAGAATGTTAAATGAATCTTTTAGTGTCAACTATGTCATTATGGACAGTATTTACGATAAGGATGTTTTGTTCTGGAGTGAGATTACAAAACATCCTTATTGTCTCAAAATCAATTATAATATTATATGATTTATGATTGATTTTTCGATAAATACATAGTTGTGTAGCCTGAAGTGTCTGTCTACTTTCAAAATGTGAATTAAGACAATATTGCTCAACCGTTCATCACCAATGCTATTAGCAATTTTTTCTCGTGGAGCGTGTTCGGGCACAACGGGCAGCCCCGCTGGCCACGGGCCTGTAGGCATAGCCCTGTTTTGATTTTTGCGCTATCTATAACTCTTGTACGACTGGACACTGAGCTCAAGTTTTTATCATAGTTTACTCGTATAATATTTTATATTTCCTCAAAGTTTTATTCAAGTCGGTTGTAAAATGTAAATGATTTTGTCGAGGCGGGGAGGTGTGCATGAGTCTAATATGTGTAGTATACTAAAAATCGTTGTCTTGTTGCAATGGGAGTGTACTATACATCAAAAAAATTATCTTCAGCTCATTAAAAATAGGTAACTAGCTTAAGAATTTTCGGACGTTCTGATCGAGAGAACAAAATCATTATCGAGCCTTTCAGTGATTATTAAGTTTCAGGAACCTGATCGGGGCGCCAGAAAATTCTCTAGGGTAATTTATTGGATATAAAACGGAAAATTTGTGATATCTATGGTTTTTTTGTACTCTTACTTAAATAAGCAGTTTTTTCCATAATATCAAGTCTTTAGCTCAAGAATATTCAGATTTTATTTTGAGTATATTTTAAATTATGTGATCATATTAAAAATTTAGTGTCTCAAATAGTTCTAGATAGTATCCTTTTGTAAAGAGTCTATCTATCTTCATTTGTTTACAACATAAGAAATTGTTCGACTTCTACGCAAACAATGAATAGAGATTAATTGCTCTTTCTTTTTTTACTTCTTCTTTTGTCGTACAATCAATCAAGGTATTTTATCTACATGTGTAAACTTCACCATGTATACGAAACAAAGTCAGATACTAGGCTAATTTTTTCAAACAGATTTAGACAATTAGACATCCGTACACATGAACTCATAGTAATAAAACAACGTTACCATCTGCACAATGAATGTATCGTTGACAATTAGATGGATCAGCAACATATTCATTTTCATATTGTCGACATAAACGATCTAATATAGTGTCGAATGGTTGTTTTTGTATTGTTTTATGATCACGATCATCGACTTTTGGATATTTTGAATCTAGATATAAAAAACTTAGAGTTTACACATCACATCGCTAACAGTAACATTGTACTAACCTTTGTAGGGAACGCGCGACAGTGAGGGTGGCATTGTTACTATATCGTCGTAGGAGTTTTCTGTACAATTAACCTAAATTGCAATCATTCCTTTTTATTAAAGATTAAAATTATTTAAGAACATGACATACATTCATTGGCCAATCACATTCGTTCTTTTTCGGATTAAAGTAGAGTTCTTCTTTACAGGCTTTGACGATGTGAGATGAACCAACACAAATGTGATAAATCCAACAATCTTTTTCATCGGGAAAAAATCCGTCTTTCGTACATTTGAAATGAGGCAAGGTAACGTCGAATACTATTATAAAATAAGAAAATTCTGTATCTGTTAGAAATGTACAAAGCTTTGTTTATAAACTTTTAAATCAAATATTAAAGAATAATACTACACTTCAATTTTTTTAGATTTAATAATACAATATAATCTAGATTATAGGTTTAGTAATCTTATTTGAAATTTGACAAAAATCTTATAATTACTATCGTTACCTGTTAATAAATAGATTGTACAAATAATATTACGCATTGTTTATTAAAACATGATGATAATATTAATTTTATTGAATTCATAATTATCATCGATTGCCAATAATAATCATATTTAATATGAATATGATAATAAGAACAATTGAATAATGATAACATTTTTCAAATTCATTTTAGATATCACTTAAAATATGATAGATAAAAATACAATTTTAAAAATTTGTATGATAGTATATCATGTCTTTATACAGTACCTTACTAAAGAATGTCTATGTAATATATATGTAGAGATGGGTATTTTTAACAAACAAATTTCTCTGTCTCTCTCGAACACGAAAAGAAAAAAAATTATATAAATAAATGTTAATACCTTCGAACTGATCAGGAAGTATAAAATAGAGCGAGAGATAAATGATGTACGCTTCATATATAGATAGATGGAGAAAAAGAGAGAAATATATACACATGAAAATCCAAGAGAAGAAGAGTATATTTAAAAAAAATTAAGAAAGAACAGATTTAAGCAAGAGTTGACTAGATTAGAGATCCAATGTGATCATTCTTGTGTCTAATCAACTTCCGTATTTAAGCAGTGTGTGTTTTACTCCTAAAAAGTTTTCAAAGTTTCTCTCTTCGGATAAGAAGCAGTCATCACACTACCACACTAAGAACGTCTGATCGATTCAAGGATGGATTATCTACTGTCAGATGAGAAAACTATGGAATACAACTATTAACTACTCTCAAAGATAAATTGAAAAGAAGATTATGGTATAAGCCATAATTTCTCTAACGTGTGTCCACTCCGCGAAAGTTCCTAAGGTGTGAAAAACAAATTCATATCGAATGTAGTCAAGAATGATCGGGATTCTTTTTCAATGCCAGAACGTTATTTTTAAAAACCATTTATTAGAATTTTAGAGTTTGTAAGTGAGTCATTATCTGTTAATATGGCCACTAGGTATTTATTTGATAGCCATAATTTGTAGAGGAGCTTGAGAAGAAGATTTTATCTTGTTTTTAGTCAACGTTAATTACTTTCTGCTTGCTAAGTTAACTGTTAGGTAACATTTGAATTTTTAGTAGTTGATCTTTAGAATTAGATGTTTCAATTTTGAAAATATTTCACTTGTTTTAAGTATTATAGGTACAAAGTCATGTTCTTTAATAAAATCAAGGATCTTATACTGTTTTGGGTTAACCTGGATTTATTCATCTTTTTAATCTGAAATAAAGGTTTTCAACTCCTTCAAAGTAGTAAAACAAGGAAATTTTCTTTCAAAAAGGTTCATACAATCAGAAAATGTGATTACACACGGTCACTCGTGTCGCCGCAATACTAATAGACAAAAATGAGATACTAGTGGATACTTGTTGATTATAAACTACCCTATTTATTAAATAATAAACTGCTTACTCGAATATAATTTGAGAGAACTTTACTCCTTCTACAGAATGTAACTGTGATGATTATTTTGAACGTCTTTGAATGTTGTTTTTTCTTTTTGTTATCATACATTACAGCTTAACAAATTAGGTGTCTTGTTTTTCAAAGATGAAGAAGAATGTTATCTAACAAAAATAAAAATAGATACATATATATTTTGGTATAGTTTTTGTCTCAGGATTAACACCTGCCGCTTTCTCATTACATTGAACAAAAATCACACATACTTATTTTCATATAAAGAACGTGGTTTTAGTTTAAGGACAGTAACTAATAACATAACGAGAGAGAGAGAGAGAGAGAGAGAAGAAAGGGCAATGTGAGATTTTTACGTAACACAATTTAGATTCAATTCAACAACAGTATTGTATTTTTATTCATTATGTATCTTCTTTCTTTTTTAAAGAGACAAAACAATAGCATTTAATACGATGGACAAGGTAATGAGTAACTAAAACAAATAAAAAAAAGAATGCGAAAATAGAAAGTAAATTTAGATGTTTTTTCAACATTGAACAAATTGAGATGTTGAACTTTTTTTCGTCATCATGATACTTTATCTTCTTTCTCATTAGAGCAAATGATATCACGCCCAAGATTATCGGTTTTGTAAGAGATACGTGTAACAAACATAAAACCATTTAACAATTTATGATATGTTTCAATTTCGACCGTATTTCGACGTGACTCTCTCTCTTTCTCTCTGATACGCAGTCCTGCTATTAGCAAAGCAGTGTCAGATTAAGTGGAGATGAACTTAATATATAAAGTGTTAAAAACTCAAACAGACTGTTATGTTAACTTATTGATTAAATTTATATAAAAATTAGAAGGATTATCAAAACTATACGCGTATCATGCAGAAAAACACGTGTAAAACACATCAAATAGCGCTTTAAAAATCTAGCGACTGTATTATTTTCCATTTTGATTTAATGTCTTATATTAACTAACTAGTTCTTTTTCATATTAATGCCACTGTTTATCAGCTACCGCACACTTTTGTTAAGAAAATACGCTTGTCGAATCAATATGATCAGATCGTTTTTGTTTAGGTTTTTCTCGTTTCATTTTTTAATTCGACTTGTAGCTAATTTTTGCATTAGTTGATTGATAGTCATTTTACACCCTTATTGGAAGATGTTGTCATACCTATTCATATTATGATACCATGATAATATTGTTTTCTATTGTCCTGAACGTTCTTGAATAACCGAGTATTATTCTAATTTCATCTTTGGCCAGTAATGTGGTCTTTAACGTTTTTTAGATCAATAAATTGTTTGGATGCGTCTGTTGTATGATCACAATGTATTTTGAGTATGTAAGCCATATGACAACAACTGACTGGCATAAAAAGCATCCTAAAAATGTGTTTTCTACAATTTATATGAGAATTTTCAATCTGAACAATATTGTTTTTCAAGACCTGAGTAAGGACTGTGCTTTACCTGAGAACTTGAAATCTATAATCCCCAACGATTTCTTCCTATTCATGTTCTGTAATGGACACGGTAACTAATTTGTGACAACGATCACAATTCACCGTATTTGCATGACGACTATATAGTAAATTATCGTGGTTAAACGATCTTCATTCTCTTCTTCATATAGTAAATTCAGTTTGATAGCATTTTCAATATGATTCCTTCAAAATAGACTTTAGTTGGATCAAAATCCTAACGAAGCAGGCCAGAAGCGACAAACCACCAAACTCTGTTTTTTGTCCGAATCCACCATGTCCGGTTTTGCAATGCAAAACCGGACATGATGGATTTCGTTCAGGTGTTCAAGTTGTTCGGTAGTGAGCGAGAGACAAGCAAGAGATTCGATATAATATGAGCGATTATTATTTATTCTTCATAACTAACAGAAGGAGAGGTTTGGTTCAATATAGGTTTTCGCTGATTAATATGGTAACCTGATGTAAACATACTTAAAAGTTTTTCTCCCTACATCTTCAGGGAGATAACAATGGAGCCAAAAGGTTTTCTGATCGATAAACATCTTTATTCCGTAGGTCCAATCGTTTCTTTTAGATCATTCGTTCGTTATTCTCATGTTATTAATATTGACTGCTTATAGCGTCATATACTCTTCTGTAGAAAAGTCAGCTCAAATCGTTCATATATATTCACTAGTGGATATATCAGCTATCTCTTCGAATATTTTTACTCTCGTGCTTTAGTATTGCTCTTGTTGGTCTTCTTCTTTTCCCGATAATAGTAGCAATTTAATCGAGATTAAAAAGTCTTCCAAGCTTAGTGCACGAAAAACATCTAGAACTGAAGACGTTATGCTGCGTATTCGTTTTTAAAACAGAATAATACTCATTATCTAGAACTTTTTTCGCAACATCTACACCGATCAAAACTTTCCCCTTGTCCGGAACGAAGAATAATAAATAATCATCATCGATACTACACCTGATCTCTTCCTTGTCTCCAGAAGAATTCTTGAATCCTTCATTGGTTAAAAAAATGCGGAAGTTTTCAGTTTGCGACAGATGCAAATTTTCCATAATGTTCGTTTTTCAATAACGAATGAATGATTCATCACCAAAAAAGAAATAGAATGACAAATCGCCGTTTCACTAAGAAAAATTTTCACTAGTCAATTAGGTTTCATGATTGATTGTCAAATTCGTGAACTAAAATAGTGGTGAAAAGCAAAAAGTTCCATCATAGATTTAAGAGGAGAACATGGTTAGCATAGACTACACGTGGGAGTATAAAAATGCTTTAATTATAGAAGAGTATTTATTATTTCATCTGGTCTCAATCAAAGTATATATTAAATGAAATTGTTACTCTGTCAGTCTATAATATATCGCAATACTGTCTATATGTATAATACAGGAAAAAAAGAAATTATAAAATAGTTAAAATATTGAATCTTTAGAGAAAAATAAATAATAATAAAAACCGGTTATTATCACTCCACGACAATATTAATTCTAGTTCATTGATTACATATTTGCATGTCTTGTATTTAAACTGAAAATTTCTTTGTGGTGGTGGTCATTGTTGCAGTGACTGTTTGATAATGTTTTGAGTCATTACTACTGTTATGATTATTGTTAGCTCGAGTACTATCGAATATAGCTGAATTCGATATTATTGGTCGTTGTTGTTGTTGTTGTTGTTGATAAAGATGATTGAAACTTGTTCGATCAGCTGAATGAAATTCTGGCGTAGCTGATGATAAAGTATTTTTCGGTGCTAACCAATCGACTGGTGAATTGTTTATTTTTAAATTTCTTAAATTACCGCAAAAAAAATCTTTTGTTCTTACAGAAATATATGGTGGTGAATATTGTGCAGAGTAACCGGCAATAAATAATGGTCCTCTCATTTGAATATCATTTACACGTGGTTCAGTTTTCATAAAATTTCTTTTATCAACTTTCATCGTCAAAAGATTACCATCTAAACGAATAGTTATAAAATGCCATAAACCATCACAAAGACGATTTTTGACAAATTCAGTACGAACACTAAATGGTTGCCCATTAATCACAACACGAGCAATAAGCTAAAAAATATCATTAATCAGATAAATAACTTTTCTTGAAAGCAAACAGACCATATTTCGACTTGAGTCCCAGAATAAATAGCGGTCTTCGTATTTTCAAGTTTTCTGCTCTTCCTTACACTCCCAACTCATTCTTTTTTTGCACTAGATTCACTATTTCATTCTCTACAAAAAACATTTCGAACATTTTCTATATACTGGAAAAATACAAAAATATAGAGAAAATACTGCAAACCTGTCGCTATTTGACTATGATAGAAAAATTGTTCTGCTCTAGATAAACAAGATAAAACAAACTTGATCTCGAAATGTTTGACTTTGGTCGAGTTATAGTTTAAAATTCTTTTGTAACTGCTTTAGAACTGCAGTTTATATACGATGATTTTTGACAAAATCAATAAAAGAAAAAATCTGTATCCCACCCCAACTGATTGAACATTTGAATATTGTCGTGATTGAAGCTTCACGGTATTTTCTCTATAGTTTTGCATTTTTCTAGTATATAGAAAATGTTTGAAATGTTTTTTTGTAGAAAATGAAATAGCGAATCTAGTGCAATAAAAGAATGAGTTCACAGGGGTATAAGGAAGAAAAGAAAAACTTGAAAATAGGGAGAACACTATTTACTTATGACCATCCGTTACCTACCTGTTTATTCTGAATCTCAATGGTAAAACTATTTTCTGGAAAAGGATCACCAAGCCACATGATCAGACCATCTTGTGCAAATGTTTGCAATTGAAAAGCTATATTTAAATTATTCTCAATTTTAAAATTTGGATCTAAAATAATAAAAATAAATAATTGAAAATGATGTTAGCAGAAGAATCGAATGCTTACCATAAAGAGCAAAGGTTGTTCCATCAAATTGAATTCCTTCAATTGGATTTAAATAATTTATATTAACAGATTCATCACTATTGAATAACGATTCCATAATAATAATAATAATAATAATAGTAAATAGAATAATACTCTCAGTTGAGATGCGTTCTATTTACATCAGGGTGTAACAACTATTAATCTAAAAAATATGAGTCGTTTTCATGGTCTAGATATAAGCGAGCAATCGAAGGTTAAATATAATATACAATTTGGAAATAATTGTTGTAAAATCTATATTTCTGCCAAGAATATTCTTGACTTATATTTACTTTAAAATAATTTTTCTATTTGTTCATAACAGATGTTAATTTTTCTAGACTATATCAGATTCTATCGAATTTAATTATCATATCATATGCAAAAAAAATGTAAAAAAAAAGAAGAGTCAGCTGAAAACGTTTCAGTTTTGAAAATTAAAATAATAGATCATTTTGTGGATCATTTAGTAAAAATATAAAGAAATATTTTCAAATATATTTCTAATATAACATTAAAATTTAATTTTACATCAAAAAGTAAAATATTTTTAAAAAGAATAATCCTGACCTAGGATCTGTAGAAAACACTTTATATTTATGATCTGTCTATTAATATGGCAGAAGAGCCTTGACGTTTGATAGAAGAAAAAATAAACAACAAATAAATACATACACAAATAGCGTTTTCAGTGAATGTCTAAGCTGACATTCACTGAAAAAATTTCAATCACCATTTGACAGATACGTTTGAAAGAGACAATGAGAGACTATTATCATATCTAAATATGTATGCATACACACAGGTACGATAATGACTGTATAGCCTTCATCTACACACTACAGTACACACATGCACACACACAGTACAGTAACAGACAGATGATAATAAATATAATGATTGTAATATTATTTATGAGGCGGTGTCTTTTTAAAGAAAAAAAAAATCTATTAGGAAGTAATACCTCACTTCAAATATTTGTACAAGTGAAGATAATTTTTTTTTCTACAAATGTTTGAAAGAAAAATAAATTCTATATCGTTTTTATAGTTGAAAAAACTTTTTGAAGCAAAAGGAAAAATATATAATTAGAACATTTTTCTTTTTTGATAATAGAGGATCTAGAGACTATAGTGGGTGTCACCGCATCCGCCATGAAGAGAAAATTTTTTCATTATTTACTAGCTAAAGATCTATTCTTTGATGTTATCGTTTTGATGGGTAGGGTACATCCATCTTAAAAACAATCCACATTCACTGCAAAAATTTTCTGAATCTATTATTTAGCTCAAAATATTTATAACTAAAACAATTCTATATATTGATGGCATGATGGCGACAGAAGGAATAATTTTTCTTTTTCTGTAAAAAAAACAATATGGAAAGAATAAAAAAAAGGAAAATTAACATGTCCAAGGATTATTGCCAATCGACTTTGAGCGCTTAATGCTACATTTATCTTATACTCAGCATACACTTCTTTTTTTTTTGCTATATAGAAATAATTTTTAAACTATTAGATTACTTTACTCTAATCTTTTAGTCATTTATCACTTTATAAAAATAAATTATTATCAAATATACTTTATTTATTATTCTGTGTTTATGGAAACTTTTTCAAATAATTATAAATCTCAAATAAAGATTTTTGTATCACACAAACCTATTATTAATTTTAAAATTTTCAGGTGTTTACTAGACTATTAATTTATGGACTTTGGGTTCCTTTAGATACTTTGGTAGAAAAACGACGAGTACTAATATATTTTCTCTGTACTACTCTCATTTTTCTCTCAAAACGCAGCAATAGTCTATATTCATGCTTGTACGATGTACTTCGGTTGATTAATGTGACCGATCACAAAAAAAAATAAGTTTGCTATGTAAAATAAATCAAATTATCCTGTTGTTTATTCTGAAAAATTCAATCAAAAATAGACATGAAATAGCAAACTTGTCGGCCAAAACAAAACACAAACCATGATTTTCCTTTCTCAGCCCTTTTCCTTTCTTGTCCAAGAAAAAAAGACTTTTTTTTATTACTCTCATACTCTCTTGTATATAGCTAGTGGTATATTAAAAAGAAAAAAACAGAAGAAAAATAAATGTGTGCAATTCGAAGATCAATTGACGACATCGCTATGATGCTGAAATTCAATTTCTACAGAAGAAGGATAATTTAGAATCTTTTGCAAATCTTCACTTAAAGTAACAATGGATCTATTTTTTATTGTATTACAGCCTATTTGATAACACGTTTTAATATAGATAAGAGATAGTGAAAAAGAATCAGAAATGTGAACGTCTCTCTTGTAGAAAATGGTTAGTTATTTCTTATTTTGTTTTATACTTGTATTCTAAGGTAAAAACATATTATATATGACTCTTATTACCAATACATATATAAAGAAAGGATCAACTGTACATCGTTATCCATCATTCATTCTTCTAAATACTTCCTCGTGTTTCTTGCCTCTTTTCTACTGAAATCTCTAGCTTTTCTGGATTCTTTTCCAGTCACAATCTCTCAAAAATCAAAATGTACCTCCTGAAAGTTTTGTTTGAGGCAGTTTGTCTCAAGGGATATCATAGGATAAAAGACTCTGGCATACATGACGTATTTCCAATTGAAACGGGATATAAGGCACGAACGTGTTAACTACCACCTTCATCATCGTTCACATAATATTTATTTCTTCTGTCTAAATATACATAATCAAATTTCCCTCCATTTAAGTTTATCCTTGAGTCATATTTCGCTAATAACTCTAACGATTAAACAATGTACGATAGCGACGAAAGTAAAGATAACGAAGCTTTCGTATAGCAAAGTATAAACCTTCTTCGCTTATTAAAGAATACCAGCAATTGACAATTTTTTTAACATAGAATGATGAGTAATATTCCTGAACTCAAACAGATGATGGACATATAAATAAGAAAAATCAGTATTTGTAATAAAAATAAGATTACACGTATGGTAATTATATTTTTCGATCTATATGTAAATAATACGATGACGCACTTGTTTTGTATACACAAATTAAAATAAGTTTATAGTGACTTAAATAGTAGCAACAAAGGTAAATTAATAAATAAACATCTATATATATATATATAAATACAGGACTACATTTACATATTTTCCGTGTATTTGATATATTTTGTATGGTGTTATTTTCTATGTTTTGTTTTGTTTTCAACTACAATATACGCGTTGTTAGTCAAGAGAAAAGAAGAAAAAAGAAAGAAATCTTAGATTGATAACAAAAGACAGAAGAAAATAAGTAATTTTTCTTCGTCACTAGTCTAGTTTGTATTAATTTAACAATGGAACAGCAAAAATCTTTTCTGGAAATTAGTTCTTTTTTTTTGAGTTTTGTCAGATAATTAATTATAACAATGACAACAAGAATGTAATAATAATAAATGCAGAATGATTTTGGGGTGACAGACTTGGTGAATGGGCATAATTACGGATATTCCTTCCTCAGTAAAGTACTGAGAAGTCGAAACTTATAGAAGCCTTACCTTTTTATTTTCAACTAGATCATAGGAATTCAGATCATTAAAAAAAACGTATATTATAGCTACGCTAATAGCGTCCGTTAAATGATCGTTTTAATACCGTCAATTAACCGTTTAATAACAAACTGTTCACCAGGGAAGGAGATGCTAGGGAGTTTATTTTCCATCGTGTGGACCATTTTCCGACGGCAGAAAAATTCCCTTTTAACGGCTGCCGTTTTGTAGGCAAATCATTTACTTCTTTTATTTTATTAATTCTATTAGTATATTCATCAAACACTAAATTTATTCGAAAATTTTAGAAATTTTCCTCCTTTAGTCATTGAAGCTTATCTTGAAAAAATAGTTTTGATCAATTGACTGATGCTATTGCTAACACCATAGAATCAAAAATATTAAAACTTTGCGAAATAATAAATATCTTTGAATGAGCTCTTGAGTTAAGCAAAAATAATAAAATTTGAAAAAATGTTTTAAAACCTCTTTCTAACTGAACGTTTATGAATTGTTAATCGATAGTTGATGGACCTTACACGATACTACTTTTATCGACGTGGAAAAGTTTGCAACATAATATTTCGAATATCTTTCAACATTTTTTATTTAATACTTTTTTTCTTACCTTGTTCTTTTGTTGGCTTACGCTTTTAGAGGTTTCCATATCCAAGGTTCACCATTATTGCTCTGGAATAATTAATATTCATTACTCTTCTGAAAATCTAAGTTGTACACAATTAGTATATAGAAATATTCTTTCCTATTATTGATTTTGTCATGTTTCTTTTTCAACAAATATACATACAACACAAAGGTATGATTACACAATTTACAACGTATAATAGTATAAAGCATTAAGAATCGAGCAGATTCTTTATTACTTCATCAAATGAAGTCATAAAAAGATTTGATTTTCGAAAATTCAATTAAACTCAAAATTTCAGACTTTACATCTGGACTTAACCATACCATTACTTATAAAAGTGCCGCTGAGGGGCAAAATTTAACTGTTCTGTCAGTTTGTTTGTTGAGTATCAAATATGTTGATTGAGCCATCAAAACTTCATCTTACCGTTTTCAACATTTGTAACATTCAGTCACAAAAACATTATTTACTATTAACATACTCTTGAAAAAACAAATAAACGATTGGCAAGCAATAAAAAAAAAACAGAAATTATGGCAAAAACGAGGAAATGTGAATAGAGAAAACGTTAAGGTCAAACAGAATGAGATAAACTTCACACTTACGATATAGTGTTAAATTAATATGACCATAAAATTTTTTCTAGGTTGAAAAAGTAGTCTACGAAGAATAGTTGGTTATGTTTATGGTCATAAATTTTCTCTATTGAAAGTATAACTACTCATTTTTATGCTCAATAAATAAAACTGAAATGGAATAGACATGAGATAATTTAATCTTTTGCTTTCGACAGACTCACATAGTGGCCTTGGAAAATGATTGTTAAATCTATGGCGTCCAGTCGCATTCGGTTTTACTCTCTTTTTGTGAAACTCCTCCCATCTTACAAAGGAGAGGGAATTCCA